GCAGCCATTGCAATATTTTGTTTCCAGCACTGTTCTAAGGGCTTGGGCTATTGACACTTGTAGTCTTCTAAATGAACTCAATCTTCCGAGCAACCCTATGAGATAGAGATTCATGGCCCATTCGAGAAGGTCACACAGTTAAATGGCAGAGCTAGGACTGTAACTCAGGCAGGATGGCTATGGATCTATTCTCCCCAAAACCCTACCGTATACCACTGGACTCTCAACCAAATTTCAAACTTCCTATAAGAAGTTCTATTTAGCTAGAATACCCAAATATTAGGTTATTAAGTATGAGATTCCAATTTCCTTAAATACTAAGTTCGACAGTTGATATGCCTGACATTTCACTTTCACTTCTTGTTTTATTTTTTATTGTGAAGGTACATCCTCACGTTTTGGCTTGTGATAATCTTTCAAACATTTTTATTTTGGAAAATTTTTTTGAAACCATGGACAAGTCAAAAATTTGTGTTATTTTTTTATATGAGTTCTGTCATGGAACCAATGCAGCACAAACAGCTCGAAATATTGATGAAGTGTTCGGGAAGGATGTGGCTAATGAACGCACAATATGAGCTGAAAGCTGTAGTGGAAACAAATCCATCTCAACTTACGTGTGAATTAGCAAGATTTGACATTACTATTCCAACAATATTGGACCATTTGAAACAAATGGGCAAATAAACTGGATAGATGGATTTTGCATGAATTAAAGGAGCATCAGAAGGGAAATTGTCTCAAAGCTTGCCTTTCTTTGTTGTCATGACATAAAGGCGAACCATTTCTTTCTCTTTTTTGTTTTTGTTTTGTCCTTTCCTGCTATGTTATCAAGGTGATAATGGCTTTGTGGAACGAGTTGGGGAGGATTCCTTCTTGATGTTATGAAATAATTTCTGCAGTATAGGTACCAGTTGTTCTTTGCAGGTCTGGCAAAATTCAGCTGAAACCATCTGGTCCAGATGGTTTCTTTTTTGGAAGATTTTTTATTGCTGCTTCAATTTTGTTACTTGATATTGGTCTGTTCAGGAGTTCCGTTTCTTCCTGATTGAGCCTAGGGAGGTTGTGTTTTTCCATGAATTTGTCCATTTCCTCAAAGTTTTCAAGTTTATGTACATAGAGATTTTTATAGTATTCAGAGATGATATTTTGTATTTCTGTGGTATCAGTTGTAATATCTCCTTTTTTCATTTCTGATTGATGTTATTAGGGTCCTTTTCTGTCTTTGGTTAATCTAGAGAGAGGCCTGTTAACTTTGTTTATCTTTACAACGAACCAACTTTTTGTTTTATTCTGCATACTTATTTTGGAATTGATTTCATTTAGTTCTGCTCTGACCTTAGTTATTTCTTTTGTTTTGCTGGGTTTGGGATTGGTTTGCTGTAACTTTTCCAATTCTTTAAGATGATTCAGTAGATTGTTGATTTGTGATCTTTCCATCTTTTGGGTGTAGGCATTTAAGGCTATGAATTTTCCTCTAAGAACTGCTTTTGCAGAATCCCACACCTTTTGGTAACTTGTGTTCCCTTTGTCATTTATTTCAAAGAATCTTTTGATTTCCATCTTAATTTCCTCCTTGACCCAATCATCATTGAACAGTAGGTTGTTTAATTTCCATGACTTTGCGTAGAGTTGAGTGTTTCTGTTGGAATTGACTTCTAATTTTATTCCACTGTGGTCTGAGAAGATACATGATATAATTTTTATTTTTTTAAATTTGTTGAAACATGTTTTGTGGCTAGGATGTGAGCAATCTTAGAGAATGTTCCATGAGCTGATATGAAGAACACATATTTAGTAGTTTTGGGATAAAATGTTCTGTAAATGTCTATTACACCCATTTGTTCTAGAGTTCTGTTTAAGTCCATTGTCTCTTTGTTTATTTTCTGTTTGGAGGATCTGTCCCGTTCATTCTCTCAGTGGGGTGTTTGAAGTCCCTGGCTATTATAATGCTGCTGTTTATCATTTTGTTTAGATCAAATAGAATTTGCTTTATGAACCTGGGCCCTGAACCTGTGTTTGGTGCATAAATATTTAGGATTACTATGTCTTCATGTTGAATCATTCCCTTCACCTTTATGTAATGAGCATCCTTGTCTCTCTTTACTTTTATTGATTTGAAGTTTATGTTATCTGATATGAAAATGGCTACACCAGCTTTCTTTTGATTTCTATTTGCATGGAATATTGTTTTCCAGCCCCTTCACCTTGAGTCTGAATGAGTCCTTGTGGGTTAGATGTGTTTCCTGGAGACAGCAGATACTTGGCTTATATATTTTTAATCCATTCAACCATGCTGCCTCTCTTCAATGGGGAGTTCAAGCCACATTTAAAGAATTGATAAGTGGGGTGGATTTCTGTTCATTCTGGAAGGCAGCTATGTTCACCACTATACCACCAATGCACTTGATTTCTGTTCATTCTGTTTCGTAGAACTTTATTGCTTTGTTTTATGAGCCATTGTGGTATCTGGGCTCTGAACTTTAGCTCTTGGATGGTTTTACGCTGGTGTCTATATATAATACAGATCTGAGTACTTCCTGCAGGGCAGGTCTGGTCTTAACAAATCCCCTCAATGTTTGCTTGTCTGAGAAAGTCTTTAATTCTCCCTCATATAAGAAACTTAGTTTTGCAGGATACAAAATTCTAGGCTGGCCATTATTCTATTTGAGCAGACTGAGAATGGGGCCCCAGTTCCTTCTGGCTTGTAAGGTCTCAGCTGAGAAGTCTGCAGTTGGTCTGACGTGTTTTACTTTGTAAGTTACCTAATGCTTTCACCTTATGGTTCGTAGGAGTGCCTCTTTTGTTTTAACTTTGGCCAGTCTGATGACTATATGTTGTGGTGATTGCCTCTTGGTTATGAATCTCCCAGGAGTCTGTTGCATTTCTAGTACCTGGATGTCCAGATTTCTAGCAAGACCTGGGAAATTTTCCTCAAGTAGTCTCTCAAATGGGTCTTCTAGCCCTTATGTAATTTTTTCTTCACCCTCATAGATGCCTATAATTCTTATGTTTGGCCTCTTTACATAATCCCATATTTCTTGTAGGCTTTATTCCTTCCTCTTATTTCTCTGTTCTTTATCTTTAACTGACTCGTTTAATTCAAAGGTGTTGTCTTCTAGTTCTGAGATTCTTTCTTCTTAGTGTATTCTTAAGGCTTTCCACCATATTTGTTTTGTATTTCCTCGAATGAAATTTTTATTTTGAGAAGCTCCTGATTTTTTTTTTTAATAATTCAATTTCTGTCATCCACCGTATTCACCAGACCTTGCACCAACTGACTACCACTTCTAGGCTTTGGACCACTTCTTGCAAGGAAAAATATTCAATTCTCAACAAGCTGTAGAAAATGCCTTTCACAATTTCATTGCCAGGCTTCACTCTTCAGGCTTCTTTGCGGCTGGCATAAGCAAGCTACTGTTAAGATGGCAAAACTGTGTTGACAGTTCAGGCACATGCTTTGATTAATTGTACTGCTTCTTGTTTGAGATATAATATACTAAACTTTTGATTCAAAATCAGACATTTCATATTTAATGACCTTATAGAAATGTGTTCTTCCTGTATACTATATGAGTCCAAATTCCCCCTTTTTATAAGAACATTAGTTATATTGATTATATTATATTATATTATATTAGAAACCCTAATGACCTCATGTTAACTAGACTAATATCTGCAATGACTCTACTTCCAAATAAGTTCATGTTCTGAGGTACTGAGGGTTGGGTTTCAACATAGGACTTTTGATGGGCACACAACACATAAAATATGTGCAGCCATTTAGAACAGAAGCACTGGCTGGGCACAGTGTCTCACACCTCTAATCCTAGCACTTTGGGAGCTCAAGGTAGGAGGATCACTTGAGGCCAGGAGTTTGAGACCAGCCTGAGCAACATAGCAAGACCCCCTCTCTACAAAAAATACATATATCTGGCCATGTTGGCGTGCACCTGTAGTGCCAGCTACTCTGGAAACTGAGGCAGGAGGATCACTTGAGCCCAGGAGTTTGAGGTTGCAGTGAGCTATGATGACGCCACTGCACTCTGTACTGTAGCTGGAGTGATACAGCAAGACCCTGTCTCAAAACAAAACAAAAAAAACAAAATCCAGGAGCACTATCTTGACTCTTGACCCATCATGCTCAATGGCTGTTCCTTTCTTCTGCTCTCTCCCTTTTTTTTTTTTTATTTTTATTTACAATTTTTTACTTTTTTTTTTCTTTTCTTTGCTACAGGATGTTTGAAGTATGCTCCCTCCCTTTCTCTCCTTATCAAGCTCCCATTGTCATCCTGCTTTCTTACTTTCTCTCCTACAAAGTTAAGAGATCTTTGTTTTTCCTATTATAAAATTATTTTAAATTATCAAAATTCCAATAATACAGAAAAGTTATATAAAAGGCCATTTTAAAAAAATCACCTGACAGCTATCCAACAAAGATTCCCATCTTAACAATCTGTGGCACTGCCTTCTAGACACCTGTTTTCATTCTAACCTTCCAGCCCCCTTTCTTCTCTGTCTGCAAACCAGGGAAAGCCTAACTACCCAGCATTTCACCTCTGCCACTGCTAATCCTTTTACACCTTTCCTCTCTAATAATACGAGAATGGCTTCAGGTATTGTAGATATCCCCTGACCGCGGGGGAGAGTCTGGGGAGACAAGCCCTTGAACGCCTACATGCCGATCTGGGAGCATGGAAATGGTACATTCCAATTGGACCTTCCAGAGGGATGTGGCTGTAGCCCTCAAGATACTCTTTTTTGAGACAGAGTCTCACTTTGTTGCCCAGGCTCAAGTGAGTGCCATGGCATCAGCCTAGCTCACTGCAACCTTAGACTCCTGGGCTCAGGCGATCCTCCTGCCTCAGCCTCCCAAGTAGCTGGAACTACAGGCATATGCCACCATGCCCGGCTAATTTTTTCTATATATTTTCGGTTGGCCAATTAATTTCTTTCAATTTTTAGTAGAGATGGGGTCTTGCTCTTGCGCAGGCTGGTTTCGAACTCCTGACCTTGAGTAATCCATCCGCCTCAGCCTCCCAGAGTGCTAGGATTACAGGCATGAGCCACTGAGACTGGCCTAAGATGCTCTTCTTTAGGGGAAGGTGAGCTCTAGGTTTAGGCCTCCCTGGTCCAGCCCAGAGGGTGACTGAGGACATGAGATCATGTCCAAGAACCAGTTTCTTTAACCTGAATGACCTCTTTTTATTCTCAACATTTTTGTCTTTCTCTTCCTGTAACTTAGTCCCCCGACCAGCAACTCAGAGGCCCATCACCCAGTTCCTTGCACCTCATCCCCCCCACCCCCTCCCACCCTGCCACCGCCTGCTGACAGCACACACTGCACTATCCAAATGCGCAGCATCAACCCACCCAAGCACCCAGGACAGGGCAGAGGCCACACCTGGTTCTAGAGCCCTGCCAATTCCACCCTCTCCCAGGTCTTGGTCTGTCACTTGGATCTCCCCTTGGGTCACCATCCTTGTGGTGGTACAGTGAGCTTCTGAAACTGATAGGATTAAATCACCAACCTGCTTGAAAATCTCCCTTCAGAGATTTGTGTGGGATGTCACTGGAGTTGTGCTTTCCAGGCTGTGGTCGGCATTTAAATGGAAGCCACCGTTTCCCACCCATCCCAGGAGATCCCTCAGCACCTCTCAGACACCTTTACCCCTTCACAGCAAAGTCTGGGAGAGATTTCAACTGTATCATTCATCCATTCATTTGATTATTCATCCAACAATTTTTTTTATTTTTTTTATTTAGGTGCCAGACACTATTCTAGCACTGAGACAGCAGTAAACAAAACAGCCCCAAATCCCTGCCGCAGGGCACTTCCAGTGGGTTTCTTGAGCCTTCCAATTGAGAGACAGGCCTGGCTCCTCTTGATCACAGACCTGGCACAGTAAGTAGTCTGACACTTTAGGTGAGGGATGCTGTGCTGGGCAGGTATCAACAACTATAGTATCCACACAACCCCAGTCACATGCCAAGCAACCGCAGGTGGTTCCATGCCCCATAAATCCCCAGCTGCTCTTCCAGCTTGTTTTGGCTGGTGCCTGGCTGGGAGCTCATGAAGCAGCAGTAGAGCTTAGTAGTTAAGAACATGGGCTTGGGGTGTCCTAATCCATTTCTACCACTCACTAGCTATATGACCGCGGATGACTTATTTAGCCACTCTGAGCCTTAGTTACCTCTTCCAAAATAAGAGGGTATTCATTATTTATTGCTGTGTAATGAATTACCCCCAAACTGAGTTTCATTTGCTCACCTATAATAATAGGATTGTTGTAAGAATTAAATATTTATACATTTCAAGTACTTACAAAAAGTGCCCTATATATATTAATAGTAAAGGTTCAATATGTGCTAGCCGTTCGTTTTATCTCCAGGGTTCCTGCTCACCGATGTCTCTGACACCCTGAACTCTCACCCTGATGACCCCTGAATGAGCTGTCTCAGAAGGTAATGGAAACTCTGTGACTCTACATGGAATTGGCGATGCCTCCACCTTCTTCCAAAAATCCTTTGAAATATCTTTCATATAAGAAACTAGATGCATTCGCAAGCTACACATCCGATAAAGGGCTGATAACTAGAATCTATTTAGAACTCAGGATCAGGGAAATGCAAATCAAAACCACAATGAGATATCACTTATCTCCAGTGAGACTGGCTTTTATCAAAAAGTCTGAAAACAACAAATGCTGGCGTGGATGCGGAGAGAGAGGAACACTCCTACACTGCTGGTGGGACTGCAAAGTAGTTCAACCTCTGTGGAAAGCAATATGGAGATACCTTAAAGCGATACAAGTAGATCTACCATTTGTCCAGCAATCCCATTACTAGGCATCTACCCAAAAGAACAAAAGATACTCTATAAAAAGGACATCTGCACTTAAATTTTTATAGCAGCACAATTCATAATTGCAAAGATGTGGAAACAGCTGAAGTGCCCATTAATACATGAGTGGATTAATAAAATGTGGTATATGTATACCATGGAGTACTATTCAGCTATAAGAAACAATGGTGATCTAGCACCTCTTGTATTTTCCTGGATAGTGCTGGAACTCACTAAGTAAAGTAAAGTATCCCAAGTACTAAGTAAAGTATCCCAAGATTGGAAAAACAAGCACCACATGTACTCACTCACCAGCAAATTGGTATTAACTGATCAGCACCTAAGTGGACACATAGGAATAACATTTATCAGGCTTTGGGCAGATGGCAGGGGGGAGGAGGGGATGGGAATATACACACATAATGAGTGCAGTGTGCACCATCTGGGGGATGGACACGCTTGAAGCTCTGACTTCTGGGGGGAAGGCAGGGGGAAAGGGAACACATGTAACCTAAACATTTGTACCCCCATAATATGTTGAAATTTTAAAAAAAGAAACTAGAAGAGGAATATGACAGTACAGTGGAAAAGAGGCTTTAAAAATTAGGTAAAACAGAGGTTAAGTAGGTAAATTAGGTAAAACAGAGTAAGGTTAGTACACAAAGAGATCACCCTAAGATCCTGCTAAAGATGAACCCATTTTTGGCTCAGAGTCTCCTGGGGGCCAGCATTAAAAGGGAAAGACATTGAATTCAAATTTCAAAAAAATGTGAACATAGTTCAAAGCGTCCATAGAATACAAGTGAGGCTTGTTTTCTGCAGTGCAGAGCAGGCTGCCGGAGGCAACTAAGCTGGACGTGCTGTCTCTGGTGGATGCGGCCCGCAGGCCTTGTGAGTATGCAGAGTGCAGCCTCCCAGGGCGCAGGCTGCGGCGCCCCAGGAGCTCAGGGCGTGGGCCGCAGTGGCAGGTCCTCCCACTAGAGGGCGCCCGTGGATTACCTTTGCTCATAGTGCCGGGGACGTTGCCCCAAGCAATTGTTTCTCAGTGCACAGCTGATTTCGGGTATATTAAACTCATGTTCCTTCACGTTTCCGAGCGTCGCAAATGCCCCCAGCTCCCTGTCCTTTGCACCGCTACACTGTGTTTTGAGGTAGGGAGGAGCCAGGAGGAAGAGAGGATTCCTGTCTCGCTTTCCCTCCCCTTCCCAAACGCCCACCCCAAGTCCCAAAGTACGATCCAGGTTTCCAGTCCCCAAGACTACTGCCGGAGCCCTGAGCAGAACGGGAAGCGGCAGCGGGGATGTGGGAGGATGTCCTGCGTGTGAAACAACGTAACCAGAGGCTAGAAGACCCTGGCTTCAGGAGATGTGGTTGTTACGTGTGCAGTTCGAGGCGTGGCTTTTGCAGGTGGGCTACGAACTCCTTCACGGCGGTGACGTCAGGCCCAGGAGGGACACGCCCACTGCCACACAGAGCCAAGTTTGCTTAGCTTGATGCATCACAGGAACGTCCGTGCTGGCAAGCCTTCGGAGCCACTCAGTCATAGGGTTGGGAAGGGTTTTGTAAGGTCGAGTGGCTGAGACCCGGCTTGCCTGGTTGGTTGGTTAGGAGAAAGGGGCTTTGGCTGATTGGTTCAGGCTCAAAGCAGGGACCTTTTTTATCTGTAGGGGACAGTTCCCTGCGAGGCTGTGAGAAGCATTTCTTTGTGGCTTTGCTAGGTCCACGGGTCTGTTTTTGTGGTTTAGAAGTTAAGACCTTGAAGGTGCCAGTTGCTCAGAAACCAAGTCTTAAATGCTTTTTATCTTATGTCCAGCTGAGTGTTCTGCAAGAAGCAAGTATTTATGGTTTTGTTTTTGTTTTTGTTTTTTTACAAGAAGGGGTCTCACTATGTTGCCCAAGTTGGTCTCCCACTCCTGACTTCAGGCGATCCTCCTGCTTCAGCATCCTGAGTAGCTGAGATTACAGGCACATGCACCCCCAAGCCTGGCAACAAGCAGGTGTTTTTTGTTTGTATTTTTTTTTTTTTTTAGAGACAAGGTCTTGCTCTGTCCCCCAGGCTGGAGTGCAGTGGCACAATCATAGTTCACTGTAACCTCAAACTCCTGAGCTCAAGTGATCCTCCTGCCTCAGCCTCCTAAGAAGTTGGGACTATGGGTGCACCACCACACCCGGCTAGTTTTTCTATATTTTTGTAGAGACCCAGTCTCGCTTTTACTCAGGCAGGTCTTGAACTCCTAACCTCAAGCCATCCTCCTGCCTCCACTTCCCAGAATGCTAGGATTACAGGCCAAATAAACTCTGAACTTTCTCTGTCAGCCCCAAAACCCAGTCAGACCAAGCCTGCGGTCGTGGTCTCTATGAGTGTGACCGCATCCCTTCCTATTCTTCCACGCCAGCGCATCCTCATTCTTGGTGCCGGAGAGGATGAAGGAGGAAAAGGCTGCAGACAGCTGGGTTCCCAGCTTGCCTGACTGCGTGGCTGTTGGGCTCCATCACTGACATAGGTCGTAGAAAAGGACAGGTTTTGAGGGGAGGTTTGTGGTCCTGGACATGTTGCATTGGAGGTGAATTTGTGGTGAGAACCAAGTGGAGAAGTCAATAGGAGACTGGATATTCAGTCTGGAGCTTGGAGAGAGGCCTAGCACAGAAGCTGCCTACTGTAACAGCACAGCTAATGACAATTAGCCAGCTATATGTCTTGGTTCCCAGGCCCTCTTGAGAAGTTACTGGCCATTTGGTCACAGTAGTGCCCTGGGTTGGGGGTGTTTTTGGAGAGGCCTGCCGCTCTCCTTTGAAATCCCCAGGTGGGGTCCCCTAGGACAAGCATAGCCCTGAGGAAGAAGGGACAACCACACAGTGCTGAAGTTTATCACTTTGAAGGTGGCAGGCTGGGAGTAGAGGAGGTATGACCACATCCAAAAGCCTAACCTCTTCCATCCCATCTCATCAGTCGGCACCCTCAGCTGCCTGGGGTTAACTGTGCACTAAGGGTGTGCCGACAGGCCAACTGGAAAGAGTGAGCTCGCAGCAGAGACTCACCATGCGGCCAAACCTGTGGATGTACATGGAGGCTGGGTCTGTACAGGTCCACTGTCCTTTCAAATTCAAAACTCAGAATGCTCTGGAAACCCAAAGACTTTTCTTCAGTTTGGTGAACTCATTTTGCCTCAAAACCTGACCCAGCTGACATGAAGCTGTTTATAGTGTTTATTTTATCCTACTTGGTGTTAATGGTCACATACTTTGCAGTAATCTGGTGTTTGATTACAAGGTGTTGTCCCAAACCCACTGCAGGGTAGGGTCACTTTATATGTGCACTGTGAATAATTCTAAATTCCAAAGACATCTGGCCTCCAGATTCTAAAGGGGCCAGTGGACCATTTTACCATCAAGCTTACATACTGTCATCTAGGGAGTCAGGGCATCATACAAGGAAATTTAACTATACTAAGAGTGATGGTCCCATTTTTACAACTGTAAAGCATGCTTCCATTTTGGTAGAGAAATCAAATCAAATGGTTTTTGAGCACACAGAACACTAAATAGTGTTCCAGACACTGAGGATACAGCAGTGAACAAAGTAAGGTTCTACGTTCAAAAAGCTGATAATATTGCATTTTTATTCTATAAAGAAGGCATACAGGCATAGACTTGCAGATGCAAAGCACTGGAAGGACAGACTAACATTCTAAGAGTGCTTCTTTCTAATAGGTAAAGGCATTGTGAGTGATCATTTTTTTTTTCTTCTCCACATTTCAAAATTTCCTGCAATGTGCATTACTCATTTTTGAATTATTACTTTTTTAATAGAGGACGATGACCCTTAATTAACCGGAGATTTCTGCTGATCAGTAGGAGCCCTCACCGCCCTCCCAGTCGGGTTGTCGCCTCAGGTCCGGGTGGGGTCCCCTGCAGCTCTCAGGCCGCGCCAGCAGAGGGCGCTGCGCCTGCGGGGCCGGGGCGGGGCCGCGCGCGCTTTTCTCCCTAGCTATATAAACACCCATCGGCGGAAGCGCAAGCCGTCGGGATGCGTCGGCCCTCAGCTGGCTTCCGGCCGGCCTCCGCCGCCCGCCCCGACCCCGGCAGCCCCTGCCCTCCAGCCGCCGATAGTGCCTGCCCGCGCTGCGGCAGTTCCTCTGCGCCTACGCCGCCGACCCGATCGGGCGCGGCGGGCGGGGCCGGCCCAGGCTGACCCGCCCGCCGCCGCGCGCGGGGAGGAGGGCCGCTCCTTTTCCCTCGCCCGCCCCGCCGGCCGCGGGTTGGCCCGGCCGCGCCTGGCTCGTACTTTGGAGCCGGATGGGGAGACGTGACCGCCGAGACGCGGGCCGCGCCGGGGACAGGCGCGGGGGCGGGAGGGGCGGCCGGGCTTCGGGGCACCTGGCGGCCCGGGCGGATGTGGGGGGCCGCGGCCGGGCGCCCTCCCCCGGCGCCGGCTTCCCAGGGGAGGGGGAAGGGAGACGGACGCCTCCCCGGCGCTCCTTGGCCCCGGCGACGCGCGCGGAGACCGTTCCTTCTGCGCCGCCCCGCCGCGCCCTGCCAGGGGCGCCTGCCCGCGAGGGCAGCCAGGGTGCCGTCCTGCCCGCGGTCGGTCGTCAGGGCCCCTTTTCGGGACCAGGGAAAGAATTTACAGTTTGGAGTCGGATCACCCACAATTCAATCCCGGTGGTGCCTCTGTCCAGCCTCAGTTTCCTAAGCTGTAAAATGGGAAAAGGAATACCCACCCTCCAGTAGGCCTGCGGGCTCTCACATCCAGAAGATTGCGACGCTAGGAGAGGTGCCAGGAAGGATCCC